ATGTACTTAGGTTTTCCCTTTAGGTAGGTCCAGTGAAGCCAATTTTTGATTAGACATATCCTCAAGCTTCTTCTCACTTCCTTCTTTGCTTGTTGTCATCATTTATTTCATTTGGATTGCTTTCAATCCTATATATTTTCCTTTTCTTCTCAGGGATTGTTATCAATCCTTTCTTTTTCTTTTTCAAGTGAAGATTATTATATATGGATAGCCTTTAATAATTTTGAACTTCACTTTTTTTTCCCTAAATTTGAAACTCAAAACATTCCTTTACATTATAAGTATTTCATAGCTTTTTACATCATTGAGTCCCAATCTTTTCTTCTCAAATGAATTTTCAGATTTTTAATACTTCAAAATATAGTTTCCTTTACTTTGACTAGTTGATTATAATCTTATTCTCTTATACTAAACATCTTAAGTCACAAAATTAATTTTCATTACAAAAATATTCCTTTAAATCTACCAAAATATTTAAATATTTGCAAAAATATAGTTACCTAAATTAAATTCACTACATAAAATCATATAAATAATTTTTGAAAATAATTAAATAGAGGACATTTAATAGTTAATTCCCTCTTTCCCTCTCCCAAACTTAAATTTTTAAATATAAAATAATACAGGTGGAAAGAAAAATTCTAAATATAAATCATACCTCCGCAATTTAAGCATTCTCATCATTCTGAAATTTTTGCAGGCCTTCTCAAAATTTCTACTTCACCTTTTCTGTAATATTAGGAGCTTTCTACACATATAAATCATTAGAGAAATTTCTGGGTAATGAAATTTTGAAATAAGTATAAAACTAAAACATTAAACAAAGCACAATATTTCCTAACACGTCCACAATACTAAACAAAAGACAAAAGTACTAAAATGAAAATAAACATCACATCACATTACAATCCACAAAGTACTGAGCAACATCCATAAGCTACACATGCACATTTCAATATTATCTGTCTTATTTTAATTTAATTGATTCAGACTTAGATTATTTGATCATACAACATAAGAATTAAAAGTACAAACAATAATTGTCCAGATTACACAAATTACAAAAATAAAAATACAAATACATCAGTTTCATTTAAATATCAAAATCCCATCAAAATCCCATGCTATATCATTCATTGTCGCCTTGCTCAACAGGTGGATTGGGTGGATATTGAGTATAATGAGATATCGGGGGAACTCAGGAAAAGTAACATCAGGCTCACCTCTGTAGTTCCGGGCCTGAGCTTTATAATAAGCTACCTCAAAATCAGAATGCCTCTGAAGGTACTCACTATCATAATCATGTCTTCGTTCTAAACCTCAAATCCTCTCATTTGTCAAATCTATAATCTTTATCTGCAAGGTCAACTTGTTCATCAAGCCAGTCAGGGTAGGGGAACTAGAAGGAGGAGGAAGGTCATAACTTGTAGAGGGGACATCTTTACTAGTAGAAGGTTCTTCACTCCTACTTCCAGTTCTCCATTTCTCATGGGATACATAAGTTTTAAAATTGGATTTACTAATGGGTTTCATAGGGTGAACCCATTCTTCATCTCCCGCTTCCACTCCAGAAAGTTGGCAAAGTGCATAAATAAGGCTAGGATGTCCTAGCCCTCCACTTGTCTCACTTCTTACCGTAGTCAATATGTTCTTAAAAATTATTCTCCCCACATTTATAGTTCTACTATTCTGAATACAAAAATTCAGAATAGCTCTAGATCTAGTTACCTCACTATGGTGATAAGTCAGTAACAGAGTAGAGGAAATGAAATAGTGCCACACCTTAGAGGTGGCATTTAGCATGGAAGCAGAAAAATTTACCCGTTCTCGTTGTTTAGTCTTCCATGTTCCTTTAACATCAGTGAGAAAGTTGATCACATCATTTAGGGGGCCTTCCATTGTACTAAAGGATTCATATTGGCAGTTATAAGAGTCTCGGGCTTCGTAAAAGGTGTTGATGTGGGCGGCGGTAAATTCCACAGGAAATCCACTCACTTGAACAGTTCCATCTTCAGAATAGGTTACATTGGCGTAGAATTTCTTCACCACATTTGCATCAGCTTTATTGGTGGTGTAACAAAAGTTTTCCCACCTCCACTCGGCAATAACCCGTCTAATTTCTCCACCCGGACTCTCGAAAACACGATCTTGTATACAATTTTTTCCTTTAAACACTGAAGTAAATCGGGTTTGACCATCGCATTGACGAAGAAAGACTCGTCAAACTCAACTCGTCTTTTTTGTCGTGGAGCCATTTTAATCTAATTAAATCAAAGAAAAATTCCAAATTATACTTCTAATATGCAAATACTGGCTTCCACAAGTAATTCTTGGAGACACTAAGTTTCA